AGAAACGCCCCCGCGGGCGCCATGGCGCCCGCGAGCACAGTGTTGGGGACCACGGCTCTAGAACCTAGGAATGAATGATGAGCAAGAAATGATGGTAGCATCAAAGTGATAGAAACACAACACAGAAACAAATTCTCTAATATTAATAATTTAATCAATTCCTTTTGCTCTGAATTAATGTGAAGTGTATGTCCATGTTAATGGCTTTTTAAATGTAGAGAATTCTGTTACATGTTTCTGTACATAGCACTTCAGAGAAGTTTTGTTCTTCACATTGAAACAATTAAGCCTTAGGGTAGAGTAATACGAAAGCAGAGTTCTTGGTTTAGATTTTAAAAAATAGGTCTTGAAGTCCTGCTTGTAACCACTGCTCTATCTTATCTCAGAACTGGAAGGGACGTTTATTTTTTTCTCCTAGATGACCGTTAACCATTCAGATGTTTAAAATTGCATGTAACATTGCTATGTCCATTCATACTTTTTTTTAGTTTGTGAGGAATGTTATTAAAAGACTTTTTTTCTGCAGCCTTTTCTCAAAATATTTCTAATTTAGCTTTTTAGTAAACTCATCACCATAGGACCTAAGGATAGCTTACATCTTACCAAATTTAATTTCCTAAAGTAGTCCCTTGTGATAGGCAATTGAGGCCACAGATTAAATAATTTGCCCAAGATTACACCAAAAATCTTTGGTACATCTAAAATACATCAATCTGAGACTCAGGATTCTATCTTAACCACACAACCATCCTTCCTGTCATAGCCAAGCAATCATGAGTTATTTGTGCATAATTGTTGAGGGGAAACTATAGCAAAACCTGGATGTTGCCCACAATCTCAGTGAAATAGTAGCCCACTTATTTTAGAGAAAGTTAGGCCAATGGCTATTTTTCTGCAGTTGAAAGTGTTTAGATGCAGAGTTAGAATAAATTAAATTTTATATAATTTTTACAGATACATACTGTCCAAAGGTAGAATTCGAGATGAGGTGAGGGATAATATCAAATTCTAAGGGGAATTCCAGGAGAGGGAGCCCCACCCTAACAGCTTGGAAGCTGTAGGAAATTACTAGAATCTGCTTGAGGTCTTATTGTTCCATAACAGTATCTGTCTAGTAAGTGTCTGACAGATCTGAAGCTTCAGTTTTCTTCAGCCACTGAAAAGTAAAAGAAACTATCTCCTTTCCTTCTGCTATCCAACTTCATGAATATTGTAGGGAGAAGCAAGAACTATTCATGAGTATTGTAGGGAGAAGAAAGAACTTCTGCGCTGTCCATTAGACCTGTGGTTCCCAACCTGCGATCTGTGACGGTACTTCAGGGGGTCCATGGAAAGTTTAAAATAGAAATTAAAATAAATGTATAGTATATAAAAACACGTTAGTTAATATTCATATGTTGCGTAATGATAAATATATTAAATACTTAGTTCTGTGATCATGTAACATGAATACATCACCCTGCTCTAACAGTTCTAGTACAATTAGAGTAATGGGAAGAGTTTAGTTGGGCAAGCAAAAATGGATCAGTAAATCAAAACAGGGACTCTGAAAAGAAAAGAACCCGGAGACCATTGTGCAATGTCAAATTCCACTTCAAAACAAACACAAAGTAAATGGAAAACACGAAAATATAGCAGTGTATACTTGGAGTTAAGGTTTACATGAACTAGCAATAAATCTGAACCACATCCATTATGCTTACTCTGTAAGAAGGTGTTAAATGAGAGCTTAAAACCAGCTAATCTTCAGCATCGCATTGAAATGAAATATGGCAAATATGTTTCTAAGCCAACTGACTTTTTTGAGAACAAACTCAAAGAATTTAAGGCAAGTAAGAAATTTATAGCTTAAAACCAGCTAATCTTCAGCATCGCATTGAAATGAAATATGGCAAATATGTTTCTAAGCCAACTGACTTTTTTGAGAACAAACTCAAAGAATTTAAGGCAAGTAAGAAATTTATCACATAGCCACAGGCAGTGACAATGCTAAGGCAGTGGAAGTCTCTTATCAGGTGGCTCAACTCATAGCCGAGGCAAGAAAGCTACACACCATTGGAGAGGAATTGATATTACCTGCAGCAGAGGAGATGCTGAGTGCAAAGCTGAGACAAGGCTGGCAAAAATCGGTTTAATTTCTCTAAGTTTGGCGCATAATTGACAAAAAGGTCCAATGTTAAGAAACAA